TCATTCTTCAGGACACTTTTTTTTTTTTTTTTGGTATTGGGGATCGAGCTTGGGACCTTGTGCTTTCAAGGCAGGCACTGGAACCACTGAGCTAAATCCCTGGCCTGGGACATTTGTTTTTGCTGTTGAGCAAAGGTAAAATCATTCTCACTTTAGGTAAGTTACTTTTTAGTAGTTTCTTTAAGGAGATTTTTCATTCCCATGGATGCAGGAGAGATTATATTTACTTTATCTGTCGTGTTTACTACAAAGAAAGAGGCTTTAGACTAGGAGTTGTACTGTATCTTTATAAAAGCTTCTTTGGTCAAAGATATTATTTATAATTTGGGGAAATTAAAAGATGACAGTGGAGGGGCTGGGGATGTAGCTTAGTGGTTCTGCCGCCTGCCGCCTGCCTCACAAGCGCAAGGGCCCGAGTTCGATCCCCAGAACCAAAAAAAAAAGATGACAGTGGATGTGTATTGATCATTTATTGCGTGATGATAATGCTGTAACTGAATTTTAATCCCCAAAAAGGAAACTGTAAGAAGCATTTTACCTGTGAATGAATAGAAAGTAAAGCAATGTACGTGAGTGCCGAAAGCTAAGAGAAATTGTGGGGATTAGATTATGTCTGGGCTTTCAGCCCTGATACGTTCACACATACTACCCTGTGTGCCATGAGCCTTGACCCTTTTATCTTATGTAAAGGGGCTCTTGAGGGTCTAACAAGTAATGTTTTAATGTATTGACACCTTCATTATTCATGTAGGGACAGTGGTCCTAGGATCTTTAATGAAAAATTATTTATCATGGAAAGAATGTGCTGTACAATGTAAACTGTTCAAGCAGTAAATGCATTATATACATAGTGATTAGGGATGCTCTTTGTTGAAGTGAACGTGGGCTAATATCCTTAATTCAGAGTTTTTGCTTACGGTGGAGGTTATTAACTGCAAGGGAACATGGCTGTGTCCTTTCTTCCTCTTGCCTTCTTACGTTGTGGAGAGAATAGTCCAAATTCCTTATGTCCATTTCTGTTTTGGGATATGATCTTCTTCAGATACTAGTATACCTATTTCAGCTGCATAATCAGAGTTGCCTGGTTAGAAATAAGCCAAGTCCTAATTTTTTAAAAACACATTTTCCTTCTGCATCCATGCAGGATTTATTTATAGAAAGTCCCTGGCTTCTTTTAACATTATCTTAATCTCAGAACTTTGTACATTTTGTGTCATTGGAACCAAAGGTTTAGAAGCTGAGGACTAAAATGCTGAGGGAAAACGAAGTCATTTCCTGGTGAAGCTTCACCCTGCCTCTGTCCCTGCTGCAGCCGGGGGCGGGGGGGGGGGCAGAGAGATGGAAGCACAGAATATCTAATTGAGTCAAACTTGTATTCACTGCTTCAAACTTAGAAAATAAAGTTCTACCATTCTTTCACCCTGCTACCTTGTTTTTTGAGAATCGAGCTTTGATCTTATACCTCTCTCACTGTCTTCCTGCTGGAAAGCCTGTCTGTCTGTCTGTCTATCTATCTATCTATTGATCGATTGATTGATCGGACTGGGGATTGAACTTAGTGAGCTATATCAGCAGCCTTTTTATTCTTCTGTTTAAAAGTTTTTTTATTAGCATATGTTTGTGACACATACTATTTTTTTTTTAAATTTTAATTTTGAGATGAGGTCACACTAAATTTCTTAAGTTGCCCAGATTAAGCTGGAACTTGCCATCCTCCTGTCTCAACCTCCCAGAATGGTGGGAATACAGGCTGGTGTCACCATGTCCAGCTTCTCTGTCTCTTAAACGCTGCATATGGCCCCTCCGGGACCTTTCCAGTTACTGCCTGCTGCTAGGCAGGTGTGAGGGAGTCATCTTTCTCCCTCAATTTACCTGTCCCTGCTTCTTACCTTCAGTGCATGTGATTTCCTTCTTATCCCAAAGAATATTTATGTGCACTGAAAGAACTTCATAAATCTAAACTTTAGTGTTGCACTTTGTTTTCTTTCTAAAATGAACGGTGGGGGCTGTGGATGGAAGGCATACATCTGAAAAGAAAAATGGCTGCTTCTAGACCAGTTTAGGTGCTATAGAATGAACAGACCAGGCTGGCCTCCTGCTCTAGAAACTGTCAGGACCCTCTTGGAAGTTGGTGTGCACATACCTGGGGACCAGTGACATGTCCACGCTGAGTACTAGTGTTATCTGCCTTATTGGCTTGGGAGCTACATAAACAGGAGGTTTAATCTTTTTTTTTTTTCCTGTAGAGTTACCACCACGGTTTGGGCTGGTTTAGAAAGTTAAGAGGCATAAGCTTTTGAAGTAGTCTTTTAATGTGGAACTTAAGTACTTAAATTGCTACAAGTTTATACAACTTAACATTGGAGTGATGGAAACATTTTGCAAGTTTAGCTGAGTCTGTGCATTGGTACTTAGATAACTGTGATACATTTAGTTGTGAGTGAGACACTTTTAGTGTTACATTTAAAATGGTCTATTTAGAAGTTTCACCAAGTGGAGCTTTAAGGAATTTACATTTTTCCAGAGAAATCTGCAATAAATAAATGACTTCACAGTTTCCATGTTTTTAATCTTTATTGTGCAGCCTCTGAAATGGATATTTCCTAAGATAAGCACAAAATAAAACTTCATTTTTTTTCAGTTGATAAAAAAAATAGATGTATAAGAAAAGTCTCTCCTGGTACAACTTTGTTAATGGCAAGTTTTCTGGATTGCTTGGCAAAATGATTTTGAGGAGATTAACATCATTTTTCTGTTGACAGTCCATTCAAAACCGCATCACCACACAGATTAATACAAGAGCCAAGTTAAATAGTAACAATATGTAATAGGGGAAATAGTGTATCTAAAAGGAAAACAACAGTAACCATTGGCTAAGGGTGTAAAGGTTCCTCTTTCTGTCTTTCTTTTGTGGTACGGGGGATTGTACCCAGACTTTGCTAAGCTGTCCAGGCTGGACTGAAACTTGTGATCCTTCTGCCTCAGCCTCCGAAAGTGCTGAGGGTGTACAGTTGCACCATTTTGCCTGGCTTTCTATTTGTTCAGGATACAGAGAAGAAACTTCTCCTGGAGTCACTGGGTTTTTGCGGAGTGCTATCCTACTTCTCTAGGCTTTCTTCAGAGGCTGCAGGGGTTTTAGGAATATTTGCCATTTTTAACCTTTACAGATGTTCTTGTTTCAATGGGGGAAACAGTATCTGGGTTTGCCTTAGGCTCATAAGAGATGATTAGAGAAAAGGAAGGTAAACAAATCAGTGATTGACAGGTGGGCGTGTCTGAGATGATGCCCCTTCCTTTATGGTGCAGTTCATGGAAAAAGGGTTTATGATGACATTAACATGATCAAATAAGGTGTCCTGGAATCTTCTCTGAATGAGTCATTTTCCTAAGGAAGAAGGAAGGAATCTCATTTAACAATTTGTGTTGACAAGGGCTCCCGTGGCTTCTCATAGCACCAGGCTCAGGTGAATAGGGTGAACTCCACCCTATAGACGTGGTGTATTGTGGCACTGGGGTTTCCTTAGCAGCCCCAGGGATCTTTTGTTGCGATCTCAGGTTCTAATTTCCCATGGCTCGCCCAGGTGGAGGTCAGCAGCCTGGTTAGAGGGTTTCAGTGTTTGGTTTTCATACACATGGTTACAAGTGTTTGTAGCAGTCTTGGGCAGGAGGTTGTTAAGAGGAGATTGATAATGGTTTCCCAGGTATGTGTTTCTTTTTCTGACTCACAAGTGTGTGTTAACTGTTTTACTTCATCCAGGATGGTGGTTGACTAATGAAAAGCCTCCTGGAGCGTTGGGTCACGCTTTCATTGGTGGAAGTGACAACAAACATGTATGCGGTGCCCTCTGCCTTTCTATCCTAACTGGTTTTATTTCTGCCATCCAGAAAAGCTTTGTCTTCCTCTGTACGGAAGTGCTGGGTGGGCGGAGCCGGGCCATTGTAGAACTCAGCTGAGAGAGAGGAGCACCTGCCTGGTAGGCTAACAATGATCCCACCAAGGTAAGAATTTTAGTTTAAATGAGATGAACCCAGTGGTTCCCTACGCTGTCTCAACTGACTGCAGCTCTGAAAGCAGAGAGTATAACAAAAAGATAATTTAACAAAGAAGTAAATATAAAAGTCAGTAGGTTTCACCTCTCCCCGGATCACTCCAAAGCCATGTTAATTAGCCCTTGCTTAAAAAAAAAAAAATCCCTTCCTGTGCTTTAAATTTTAATGCTGTCAGGAGCAACACATTCTTTGACCATAGCCGGTCTGCACCAGCAAATGCTCCTGTGCTCGAGGGAGAAGAGAGCGACGGGTGGGTGCAGGGTCAGCTGGCAGATTCAGACACATGTACTCCAGCCACCTCTTTCATGAGCTGAGAGTTGGCAGGCTCACTTCTGTAGCAGCACCCCGAGGTGAGGCACAGTCCTGGAGGAGGGTCCTGTGTCACCTCTGTAGTGGGCTTGCAGGGATTTCAATAAGGGGCAGAGAAGTTTACAGTGATGCAATATAATGATGCAGTCTGTGTACGTTCACCACTGTTTCTACAACGGGTGAAATAAACCAAAGCCAATTCTGAGTTGCGTGTGATTCCTGTTAGAAAAGGGTGAGAATAGGGGAGGTATGCCTTTAAAAAAAAGAGAACCCCAAACCCTGAGGGTATTAAGGCAGTTGTTAATATTAGCAGCACACATGTGGCAAAGCAGCAAGCCCTGACATGTTAGCAACTGTTCGCATAATTTACCTGGTAGAGGAAATAGCCAACACAGAGAACAAATGTTTTAGGCTATGAATGAGCACAGTGGTTAGCATGAGGTTTCCTTGCCTGGTGTGCATTTGTATTAAGTCTGATTCGGTAAACACATTGGACTAGTACCTCCCTAGCTGCACATTTGCCTTAAGAAAGGAAGAGGCATTTGTGAGCAGTAGCATATCTTGTTAAATATTGATGTTGGTAAAAACCCTCCAGAAAGGAGGAAATGGCTGCTCTAGAGGGAAGTTTGAGCAGGGTAATTTTGCAGCCACGTTCCCGGATGGGGAGGGGGAAAGCCCTTTCCAGCCCTAGGAGTGTCTGGATTTCCCACCTGTGGGCAGGATTTCTGGTAAGTACAATATAGGAAGCACAGCTCCATGGCTCTCGGTCAGCACTTGGTGACCTGGCTTCCACTGCTCCCTCCTCCTGGCGAGTGGGGGAAGAGGAGGAAGCCCGAGGTAGGAGAGTGGGGAGGGCCCTCCATAGCAGCGGCAGTGATAGAAGCCCCAGTGCCCCACTTCCGAGTTGGGTGCACCTGCTATGACACAGCGGTGCGGACTTGGTGGCTGAAACCACAGAACTTAACTTTCTTGCTCTCTGGAGAACAGAAGTCCAAGAGCAAGCAGGGGCAGGGCTGGCTCCCCCCAGGCCGCTCTCTTGGCTGGCAGGCGCTGCCTTCATGCTGGGTCCTTGTGATCTCCACTGTGCACGTCTCTGGTGTTGCTCTGGGTGTCCCAGACTTTCTTATAAGGACCTGTCAGGTTCGGTTAGGGCCACCCTCACCGTCTCAATTCTAACTTAATTGCCTCACTTAATATAGTCATCGCCTGGGGTGGTACAGTTAGAGTTTGACAGGAATTTGAGAGGGCCTCCAGTTTCACGTTAGGAAAGAGGGTTTATAGGGAGGGACAGCAGAAGCTGTCTGCCTCAGGAAGAAGGGACTGGGGTGGGGATGAGAACCTATGGGTCCTGGTTTAACCCTCGTGCACCCACCCGAGATGAACACAAGGGTTCTCATTTGACTCAGAGTTGCAGAGAAGTTAATTCCCTAAGGGTCACTTCCTAGAGAAAGCAGAGCCTGATTTGGGTTTCAGAGTCAGGTTTCTTCGACTCCGTTGTCCAAGGGCAGCACAGGGTGTGGGCAGGTCTTATTCCCTCTACTGGACTGGGGAGCAGGAGGGGTACATGGAAGACACCTCAGAATCCTCAACCCAGGGCTCTAGGCAGCCTCTACCTACCAGTGGGCACAGACACAGGGGCGAAACCTGTTTTTCCTTCTGACACCACATTATGTTGCTTTCCTTCTGCTTGAAGAAACATCATGAGAGACAGAAGAAGAAAGAGAAATTGTTGAGTGCATGTAATGTAACGATGTAGCCATCCTCAATTTTGTAAATTATAATGGAACTCCTCCAGTAGCTCCTTTCTAATTTAGGTCAGGTCCTCTTAAAATCTCATAGCAACAGTGGCAAAGATGGGGACCCTTCCCCTTCTAGACAGAGAGTTGACCAGCTGCGCTGGCCAGTTTAAAATCCCACTCTAGTGCCAGTGCTTATTGGTATGCATTCCCCAGACTGAACTGTAACGAGGGACAGGTTTTATTGAATGAAGAAGACTCAGAGGTGGGAGTTGAAGACATTGGAAGACAGGGCCTCTAACATGGGGTGTGGAAGAGGGCTTGGATTTAGATGGATGGGGATTTATAGTACAGCAGGGAAAATTGTTGTAGGAATCTTGCCAAGTCTGATGACTACAAAGGTCAAGGCTAGTGAACTTTAGGGCCTTTCCAGGCAACGAAACAAGTAGTGATACTTAAAGGGGTACTTTTGAAGGACATTCTTGACAGATGTAGAAGTGGGTGTGTCCACACCTAACACTTCGAGGGGTTCTTTTTTAAAGATCAGTCTACAGTTTGAGGGGCTGCCCTTTTAAGTGATTTAATTGTTGTTTTCCTATTTTGAATTTCTGGTCACCATAGCCTATTAATTATGGTAATATAAAAATGACCATACTAATCCACAGTGAAACGGAAATGGAATGTGACAGTTTAATTTTACTATACCAGATAAAGAAACCAGTGGCCCCAACATAATTGAAAATTGAAGCTCTTTTTAAAATACCTCATAAGAATTTCCTCTGGTAAATTATCTTCTGCATAAAACACGTGATGTGAGTTGTTTTAGATGTTTTCAGATTTTCACTCTTCTATATGCAGTGTCTGTTGTGAAGCCCGTGTAAGTGGCCATCTATGGATGCCGGTTTCTTGCCTCTACCTTCTTAACATTCGAGTCAGGATGGCCGGTCTGTGTAATGTCCCCCGCGTGCCACCTGGGAACCCAAGCTTCATCACATCTGCATGTCTCCCTTTACCGTAAGCCCACTTGGGGTGTCTTACCTTCTCCTGGGGCACTACCTTTTAGCCTTCTTTTAAATCCTACCATGGCACTCTTCCACCTAAGACTTCCTCTCACAGCTCTCTGTTACACCTAGAATAAAATTCAAAACCCGTGCTTGGTCTGGAAGGTCATGAATATTCATCTTCTGCTTCTTCTTTTAAAAAGATGCCCCCACATCTCATGGAACTGGGCACTCCTGTCCCTGCACTCACAAAAGCTGATGTGATTATTTAGTGTCCACCCCTCCAGATTAAAGCACTCAGGAGGCAGGGATGTGTCAGTGTTTCTGACCCCTAACAGCGCCCTATAACAATTCCCCATACACTCCAAGCACTCCGTATTTATTCAGTGCACATGGTATTCAAGAGGGGGACGCATGTCTTCTGAGAGTCGCCTTTGGCAGCTGAGATGTCTTCCATACAGGGACACTAAATTTCACCTCATCAGTGCGCTTACTATGAAGATGAATAGCTGATGAACTCCAATTAGTGTAATTATTCTGTTTCCAGGCAGTAACCTTGGTAGTAATTGTCTTAGAGCCCTGAGACATTACAAGTAATTAGTGCTGATGGCTCATGGATCTGAGCTTTCTCCCAAGGTAGAGTCTCAAATGAGGAATGGAATTGTGTATTATGTGTGGGAAACAAATAATATTACATTGTGGGAACTTTTCAAAAATACAACACAAGGAGTGAAATCCGGGATGGACTAACATTAACATTCTGTGTTTCTTCTTCCAAATCATTGACTGCCATTGGTCTGCCTTGGATCAATCATCATTGGGCAACTTCACCAATGCATTTTAAGAATGGCCTTTGTGAAGTTGGGCTGTAGGGCACCTAGATAAGTGTGTGATTTGAAATCTTCACAAGAATCAATTATGAACTTAGCAGCAGAGTGATGAATTGAGCTTGGACGCTACTCTGACCATGTACTGTAAATTGTGAGTTCCTGGAGGTTAAGACCTTGCTTCATTCGCCTGTGGATGTCGGTTTCTAGCATGGAGCCTGTGGTCCAGGGAAGGCCTGTTTCATGGCTTGGTAATCTCGTGGTATTACACTAACACAACCAATTTCTGAATGATCTCCTTGGTGTTGCTTTCATATCCAGGAACCAGCTTGTTATGAACCTTCAGGAAACATCACTGGTTTTTTATTTTTTATTTTTGGAGACGGAGAAGAATAATTAGGACAACATTTGATTTACTTTCTTCCTAAGTGTCACTGGCCTCAGTGTTAAGTAAGACTGTTTATTGGAGGTGAATACTTTCAGGTCCATCCTGAGATCTTTTATCAGATCAGTGTCTAGTTTGCTTAAGCTGCTTCTTATTGATGGAATTCTTATTGAATAAAAAATGTAGCTTTAAAAAAACCTGTGATATGTCATTGATTTTTAAAGTAACTTGTAGTTAAGAAATAATAATCCAATGAAGAAATAATAATCCAGTAAGCATGTCAACTCCAGCAATATAATTTCCTCATTCTAAAACATTTCTAGATTTTGATACTCTATTTGCAAAATTTTAATTTTGATAAGCTCTTGTACATTTTAAACTGTATTTGTAGTGGAGCTGACTGTGGAATCTTTGTTGCCAGCATGTGTGAGCTGGGTCGGGGGACTGAGACAGCCTCGTGTTATCTGTGTAATTCACACCATGAACACTGCTGCTTTAACCATTAAGCCAATACTTTGTCTTGCGGTTGTCTCATTTTAAATGAATTCAGTTCGTGAATTAGCCCATGACATCCGCTTTGGAACAAAATCTTCCATCTCCCCCTCCTACCTGGTGTCCCTCTGCCAGCCTGCCGTGGGCACAGTGGAGCCAGCCACAGGGAAAGGGCCCCGCCCTGGTCATTCCGCCCATGGGGTTGAGTCTCTTCAATTTAAATTGGATGGTAGAACACAAAGATAGAGTAGAGTAGCAGTAGTAGAACAGACAGGTGTTTCTAGTTAATTGCTCATCCTAGCACTGTTCAGAGTCCTGCACCTCCCCTTTTGCCCCTGGTTTCTCACATACCAAGCTTCATGTGTTGCTTAAGCCTCGGCTCATGTCACAGAGTGGGTACTTGGACTATGTGTTTACCTGGGATGGGGTGGTGTTGATGTCTAATAAAGGTGTATCTTGGTGACCGATAGGCTTTTTGGTGTTTATTTCCAAGAAGATATGTTCTTTTATTTACCCTTATTTATGTTTGTCTTATCCTGATGTAACTTATTAATGATTGTAGTGATGCTATTTTGGCTTTAAAACTGGGGAATGGAAACAGAAAAGCTGCCACAGATGCAATAAGGAATCCCAAGACGTGACTGGTGTGGCTGTTTAGATGCCACTGTCCCCCTCCTCTGGGAGACATTTGTGTGGGCCTCTTGTCTTCTGCTCTTGTAGGTGTGTATACATCCCCCTTCTCTCATTATGATTATTCTATTTCTGCTCCTTAATTATAGTATGAGGTTGGACAAACATCATGTACACTTAAGCATTTGAAGACAGAGGTAAAAAAAATAATTTAATTAATTAGATAATTAATTTTAATGAAAAGTTGCAAGTATTGGTTTTGTGATGAGTTCATTCTCTATTGAAAGACCAGTGACATTTGTAAGGGTATTTCTAAGACTAGGCTTTTAAAAAGAGTTTCAGATGGCTCCAGAATCCTCCCTCTAAGTGTAGATTGAAAACTTGTTTTTCAGCATAGGAAAGAGCAACTAACGTGAGATCCTTGTACCCTCTTAAAAACCTGAGAAAATGCAAACCACATTAAAATATTGGTGAATTAATATGTATTTATTGATGTAACTGGGAGACCAAAGGACCTATTATCTTCCTTTAAGGAGCTTAGAGTTGGTGAAGGCAAACTAATAAACCAGTAATTACAGTGAGATAAGTATTGGTCTACAGCTACATGGGATAGAGACATTAGCCTGCAGATAGTCATTAAATTAACTTCTTGGATCA